CCTTTTCTGCCCCCCACCCGGCTCCGGCCTCTTCAGCAACAGCAGCCGAGGCCGCCGCCGCGCCGGGGACATGGCTCCTTTAAATGCGCCCCCCGCGCGCGCGCTGTCCCATCACCTCCCCCCCTGCGCGCGCGCGCTGTCCCATCAACTCCCCCCCGCGCGCGCGAGCCGCCCTCTTTTCTCACTCTCCTCCCCACCCGGCCAGCCCAGCTGCCTGAGCCGAGCCCCCTCCCCTCTCCTCCCCTAGCGTCGCAATCACAGAGCGTCTCTAGCAACGCGACAACGTCAACGCCATGTTGGGAGAGGCAAAGGGAGTACCTACCTACTCGTTTCTTGGCAGGTGACGTCATGGCTGGGCGAAGGGCCTGAGGCACCATGTTGAGGGAAGTCTTGCAATCCGGAAGCGAAGGATCGGTACTTGCCTAACTGGCAATGGTCGTGGCCCAAACGACGCTCCCAAGTGGTGGCAATGTGGCTTCTCCCGTAGTGGCCCCCTGTCCCTGTAAAATAAACCTGGGGGTGGAGCCAGCCTTGTGTGGTGCAAAAGTAAAAGGCAACCAGGCGAACGGGCGGGGCGGGGGAGACAACACTTGCCCCACTTCCAAGGAGTTACGCCTTAAGAGGTTCATCTTTCCACACCGTTTCCTATGAAGTGACGGAAACGTACAGCCTGACTAAAACATTCTAGTCGGTGTCACTTGCTGTTATTACACGACACATCAAGAAGCGCGCACCTCAAATAGCTTTGGAAAAGGTCGCCCTGTCAGTCTGTGCAAGCATATGAGGCAATACCCAAAGAAACGAAACGAAACAAAAATAAAGACGAAAACACGTGGCACCTTAAAGACTTAAGTATTATATTTTAATGTCAGCTTTCGTCGACGTCCACCGACAAAGTGGACGTATCCACGAAAACTCAAATTGAAACATAGTTAGTCTTTAGGTGCCACGTGTTTTTGTCTTTTGTTTTTAATTTTGTCTTTTTGTTTTGTTCCTTTGGATTTTGCCTGATACACCTAAAATACTGACTCCTTAGGGCTCCGGACATGCATGACGGGAAAGGAAAGCATTTCCTAGAAGAGAGTCGTTAAGCAGGCCGGAGAAGTTATAAAAAAGAGTTCATAAAAATTCGCCAACTTGTCACTTGGGTGGAATTGACACGGAGTTAAGAGAAAACCCTCCATCTTAGCGATCCGCGAGATGAAACGATCTACGCAATGGGGGACGCTGCGAGTGAATAGATGATTCACACGGTTGCTAGACTCCCGTCAGACGAACTGCGTTTGCCCGACGCAAAGTGTGTGTAGGGAAACTCGGGACACGGCGGTTCAGGCAATCGAAGTGAAAATTAACGTGTATTTTTCCTCAAGCCAAACGACCAGAAAGTTTCTTTCTGATGCTGTGGGATTACCTGTCTCTCTTCCTTTGAATGTTATTTTTCTTTTAAACAGTCCTTGGACTAAAAAATTAATTATTCTGTCCCTGTTTACTCCAAAATAAGTCCCACCGAATTCAATGAGGAATCCTGCTCTCGAGTATGTATACAGAGGACTGCGACTGCAGTTTTCAAAAATAAAAAGCAATACTGACCAGCTGACAAAACACTATCCTGCGAGGAAGACACTAATTCCACTATAAAGCAGTGTGACTTTCCAGTGTGCCTACTGCTCTTCAACACTAACATTTATCAAGCTCTTCGTTCATGGTGCTTCTAGACAATGCCTACAAGTCTGTGAATACCCTTCAGAGGTCAGTAAAGCTCCTTTGAAACTCCCAGAATGCCCCATTGCTTATGTTAAGTGTAACTCCTAATCTTATGCTGCCTGCAGTATTCTGGGAGTTGTGGTTACCGACTCTTCGTGACCCCATGGACCAGAGCACGCCAGGCCCTCCTGTCTTCTACTGCCTCCCGGAGTTGTGTCAGGTTCATGTTGGTTGCTTCGCAGACACTGTCCAGCCATCTCATCCTTGGTCGTCCCCTTCTCCTCTTGCCATCACACCTTCCTAACATCAAGGTTTTTTCCAAGGACTCTTTTCTTCTCATGAGATGGCCAAAGTACTGGAGCCTCAGCTTCAGGATCTGTCCTTCAAGTATTCTGGGAGTTGTGGTTTAAAAAAAAGGGATATTGTGAGTGTTGTGATCCCGGAAAGTAACTTACCATCTGTGTTTCTGAAACTGCTTATTACAAGAGTCTTCAATTGTACACGTGACCTTCCTCGATCGAGGAATTTTAATTGTGGGGGGTTTAGGGCCTTCCTCTTGACTAGGGCCAGAGCATAGGTCCAGCTTCCTCCCCCTATAAATTGTAACCTCTGTACAACAATTTATCACATTAAAAGGAATCCAGTGCTTACATAGCTACAAATATCAACTTTCTAAAGCTTGACACTAACCAGTTACAGTGGTGCTCCTCTTGACGATGATAATCTGTTCTAGCAAAATCACTGTACAGTACAGCGAAATCGTTGTCAAGTGAAAAAAAATTGGAATGCATTGAAAATCGGTCAGTGCATTCCAATGGGGGAAATACCTGCTCGTGCAGCGAAGATCCTCCATAGGGTGGCCATTTTGCAATCCCTGTCTTGCAAAAATAGGTCAGCAAAACAGTGGGGAGCCATTTTGCGAAGTGCTGATCAACTGTTTTTAATTGTCGTAATGCAAAAAAACGATTCCCGAAGCAGGGACCTAAACGATGTAAAGCGAAAAAAACCATTGGAACCATCGTAAGAGCATTAAGTAAGAGCAATTTAAGAGCTTTAAACATCTATTAATTAGTTTTGTACAAACTTCCTTTATATTTACTGAAAGTGAGGTAAACTGTGTTAATTTTCAAATTAGTTTTCAGTCTGTATTATCAACATGCGCATGTAGATCACCCCCCAAATTTGCTTTTTAAATACCTGTACTGAAACTGAGAAAAATTTGCATAATTTAGAATTTAGACCCTTCCTTTTTGTCCCCCAGAACATAAAATCGGAGATTCAAAAATAACCAATTGTCTATAAATCTACAGTAATCTTGAACCTAATGGCTGCATGGAAACTGTACTACTAGTACTGGTAGATATATTTAGAACCATGGTATGAAGCTTGCCCAGTTGATTTTTCAGCTCTGTTGCTTACTTACGGCAGATTGTGCCTTGCTGTATAGGTCATTTTAAAAATTGTAATCCTCTACCCTTTCTCACTTTTTTCTAAATTGCCTGAATTTGTATGTATAAAACAAAGCTGGTAATGTAAGAAAGACACTTATAAGGAGGAGGAGATAGATTTCTTACAGCAATAAAATCAAATATTTAAGGTGTTAAAAAGAAAAGGATTAGAAATGTGATTATTTTTTCCTTTCTAAACTTTACAACTAGATCCAGAGATTACTTCAACATGATCGCATTCTCTTGCTGTCCAATCTCCAAAATGTCCTGAACAGCCCTGCCAAGCTCTTATAAACTCAGTCTTGTAGTTCCTTTTTCAAGTTGCAATCCCCTTTTATAATTACCAAGTAACCTGTGACACCACCCACCAGAGTTGCATAAAAAGGCATTTTGATGGAATATTAAAAAAACATATCAAATACTGTGTTTTTCTGTTTATAACATGCCCCCGTTTATAAGACGCCCTCCCCTTTTCCAACCCCAAAATTAAGAAAACTTAACTTTGAGTATTCTGGGCTTAGAACGCTTGGACATTAGGAGTCCCTGTTGAATCTGAGCACTTCCTACAGGCTCCACTTCCAAGGAGGTATATTCCAATTGGTTTGTTCAGCTTCAGCTGATGTCAGTTCCATAAGGCTCTTGACTGGAGGAAGCTAAGTCTGCTGACTGAAGGAAGCCTGTTTACAAAGGCAAGGTACCAGCCTTTTTCTTCTCTCCTCCTCACCTTACTTCCATGTAAAACAGTGGTTCTTAACCTTGGGTTACTTGGGTGTTTTTGGACTGCAACTCCCAGAAGCCTTCACCACTAGCTGTGCTGGATGGGGTTTCTGGGAGTTGCAGTTCAAAAACACCTCAGTAACCCAAGGTTAAGAACCGCTGGAAAAGATGCCTCTCAATTTTTAGTGTAATGATTTTAGGAAAATGTAGTGTCTTATACACAGAAAAATATGGTAGATTTATTTCAGAATATAATTCTAACCTAGTAAAATAATATTAATGTAATATTGCAAAATTATGGGGGGGGGAATCTGTCTCTCCCAGATTAAATTTGAGAAGGAAAAAATGTCAATATACTTTGAGTTTAATTTATTTTTTTGCATGTGGAAACAACCCTCGGGCCATGAACCTGTGCTTTAGGCAGTCCATATCTGCAAAGCTTTCCTCCAGCACCAACTTCAAATTAATCAAGTTTTTCTTGTGAGCTTTCTGAACTGTCCAGTTTTCACATTCATATATGATGACTGGAAATAAAATAGTAGGACGATCTTGGTCTTGGTCTCCAGTTACACACTCTTACACCTGATAATCTTTTCTAATTCATTAATTGTAGCCCTTCTGAGTCTGAGTCTTCAGTTTTCTTCACTGCAGTCTCCATTTGGATTGATGATTGACCCAAGTATACAAAATCTTTCACAATTCCAATTTATTCATTATCATCATTAAAGTTGTGTAATTCTTCAGTAGGCATGATTTTTGTCTTTGGCACTTTCACTAGAAGTAATTTCTACTTTGTGACAGTAAGAGTGTGTCATCTGGATATCTCAAACTATTTATGTTTCTTTCACCAGTGTTCATCTTCATCTAAATCTAGTCAGTATATTAGTATTTTTTCTTGGGGTCTGAATGTATATTGAATGTTGCCATTCTGTAGGCCATTCTTTTGTTTTCCATATTTCTTGGCATATTCTTGTGAAGATCTTGACAGATCCAGTCTCTGTGACTTGAAACAAAGGTATCAGTATCCAGTCTATCCCTGATGGTCTATTTCTTCCCTGTGCTTTCAGAGCAGCTTTCAGTTCACTTTCTAGATCTATAGGTTCCTCCTTAAAGGAATCTTTAATCCTTTTATCTTTTCTGTATAGGTCTTCACTAGACTGTTTCCACCTCCTCTTTATTTTCTTATAAATGATGTGCCTTCCTGTTGGTCATTCAGCATTCCAAATCTAGGCTTAAATTTCCCTTTGATTTGTTTGATCCTCTGGAAGATAATTTTTTTTGTTGTTGTTTCCCTCTATTCATAGTTATGGTAATAGTTCTCATTGTCTCTACATGACAGTCACTAAAATACTGTGTGCAGGGTTCTAATCCTATTTCTGCCACTTGTTGTTTTTGCTCCCCATTTGTTTACAATCCTAAGCATTTATTCCATCATCCAGATTTTTCTTTTCTATTTAATACATGGATTATATTTTTGCATTCTTCCATAATAGTATTATTGATTTAAATATTTTGCTTTTTTATATCACATTCTAAAGGGAGTAATGGTTCTAAGCCACAATTAATAATGTCTTCAATTACATTATTTATTTGATTTATAAGTTTAAAAAGGGAATACACTCTTTAGTGTGTTGAAATATGGTGGCTTTAACAATCCTTTTTTTTTTGTAATTAATACATGTCATTAAACATGCTTACCAATCCTTCAATAAGTGGTCTGAAATAGGTAGAGGCAATGATGGGAATAAATCATTACATTTTGATAAGTGAATCATCTACAGCTGTTACCATGCCCTATGTTCCCATTTTTCATAGACTGAAATCTTGTGACAATTTAACAATGGCCTATAATTCAAAAGCCCTATTTTTGTTAAGTTCTCATATAATAGTACTCCAGGGTATCTGAGTTAGAAACTAATGGGTAAACCCATCCCTTGATGTAGAA